TATATATATATATACATATATATAGGAAAGCTATCTTGGGTTATGGATTCATGCTAAAATTAGAAATTATCAGAACTAACAAAGAACCAGCAAAATCTACAACATTATCTACAAGCTAAAAAACTGTATTCTAAACTTTATCGTTTGTTTACACCTTACACCAATGGAACATTCAATTAAAAAAATGCAATATTATGGGGCTCTTTTCAGACTGTTAGCAGACAAGCCAATCTGGCAGTGCCATTTCCAGGCCATAGAATATACAGGTAGTCCTCATCCTCCGGTTGCCTTGTTTAATGACCACTCATGTTACAAGTGGTATAAAAGTTTTACAGCCAATCCTCACTTTTACAACTGTCTCATTATATGATCATGTGATCACCAGTTGAGTTCTTTGCAACTGGCTTGTCACAAGTAGAGTTAACAATGAAAGCAGAAGTAGAATCATAAATCACAGTTATGCGTTATTTTGTTATTATTGTGTTATTTCAATTAACGATCATGGTGTTAAGAGACAATTACTTGTCCCAGTTGTGGCTGCTAAATAAGCACTACCTGAACAAACAATAAAAATGAACTTTTCAATGAGAAAGGGCAAATTCTGTTGAATCTTTTGATGAGGATTTATTTTAACCAAACTTTCCCCATCATAATTTCATTTAGTTTTATGCACTGTATTTTAATATAAAGATTTTAAAATTATCACATTCATAAAATATATAGATAGAAACTAGGATGTATTGGTTGCTGCAAGTTATATAATATATTAAAAAACTATATAACCATAAACTTTGTAGTAACCCTGTTTCATACATACTTAATTTACACAGGAATTATTTACTCTTTAACACAAGTGTCAACATCTGACATATTTTACACACTTTTGAGGACATGCTGACACAAACAGAACCAAACACAATTTTAAACATACTTTACTGCTAGCCAAGTGCAATGATGTATTCAAGTCATTATCCATCAAGGTTAAATCAGCCTTAGCACTGTTCACCAAAAAATCTAAAATACAAAAAAACCAAAATATTCCATAAGTTTACATCCATAACACCAATTCAAGTATCTTCAGACTTTCAGATGAAGTTTACATAATAAATTAGTAAGAAAAATAAAACTGTGATAAAAGAGATCAGAACAAAATTCAATAAAGTCATGACATAAAGCAATGTTTTTCCGAAAAGGGCTTTTAGTATTACTATTTAAAAAGCACAGTGCAGTTATTCTAATTTTCATTCATAATTGATCTTCTGTAATATGAAAAATGCTGGAAGAAACTGTAGGAAAGGTAGGATCACAAAGGGTGAATTATTTTGTCTTGATCATGTTTGTTCCATGTTTGTTCTAACCTTGGGTTAGAAGGATGAATGGGTTCCGGGTGTTATGAGGAACATGGATGGAGGGTTTTGAACAGAACTTTTTTTGCTATGGTTATTTGGTACTGTTGTTTGAATTTTGTTAAGCTGTCCAAAGTCATCTGGAATGGGGCAGCTTACAAATTCAGTTGTTCAAACAATCAATTTTTATTCCATATTTCATTTTTTTTTAATTCTGAACATGCCTAAGCATGTATGGTAAACAATTTATATGTGACATAATTTCATCTTAATTATTTTAGAGATAAATTTATTCATTTATTCATTCATTCAATTAATTAATTAATTAATTTAATTAATAATAATAAGTCTTTATTGATTAGCCCTTGGGCCATATCAAAGTGCAAAGTTCCAGCAACAATTTGTTACTAAAATTTAATAAAAGCAATTCAAAATGAAATTTGATAAAATACTATTTAAAATGGAACTTGATAAAATACAATTTAAAATGGAATCTTAGACAAAATACGATTTAAGATGAAATAGTAATAAAATACAATCCAAAATAAAATTGTAATAATGTACAATAATTTAAGATATGGATAAAATATAATAACATTATATTTGGGAGTCGCCCTTGCAATCTACCCTAATTAAATTTATTTGCCACCCTTCTCATTTCAAAGCAACTCTGGGAGAGTTATATCATTAAAATTGCAAAATATAAATTTCTATAACAATAAAAATGAAAATTATAATGATAATAGAATTATAGTTTTAGAATTATAATAGAATTATAGATGGGAAGGGAAGAAACAGGTTGTGCCTGTTAACTCATCAACCACCCACAGTGTGATGCTCCCACATTGGTGTCCAAGCCATCTGGCACAGCCAGGTTTTCAGGCTCTTGTGAAGATTAGACGGATGGGAGCCGATCTCACCTCAGGAGTAAGATGTTCCAAAGGGCAGGAGACATTGCAGAGAAGGCTCTTCTCTTGGACCCCACCATCAGAATTCCTTGACTGATGTCTGCAGCATGCCTCCTTTGCCAAGGTGCATGGGGCAGGCAGGCCAGTCCCAGTGGGTGAGACAATTCCTCAATAACCTGAATCCATGCCATGCGGGGCTTTAAAGGTAATAACCAACACCTTGAATTGCACCCAGAAGCAAACTAACAGACAGTGCAGCTTGGTGTAACATGGGCACCAAGAACTACCTGTGCTGTTGCATTCTGCACCAGTTGAAGCTTCTGAATCTCTTCAAGGGTAGTTCCATGTAGAGTGCATTGCAGTAGTCCAGAATAGAGATGACCAGGTTTTGAATGATTGTTTAACATTTCGTTGCTACTATTCCAAAATAATAAAGTAACAAGTTGATGTTACTATTCCAAAATAATATTGTTGATGTGTTCCCTCTCTGTTCTTTCCCAGTAGCATACTACAGAGGATGGGAATTTTATATTCAACATTACTCAGAGGACCAGTTGATAATGAATAATTAAAACTGTATTTAAGAATGACATTATGCTAATAGATTATATCATAGTTTTTCTTTTAAAAGGTAGCATATTTATTAAAGACAGGCAAGTGGATATGGAATTTTATGATGCGCAACTGCTGATATAAATATACCTCAAGGAATGTGTGTTGAAAATATAGGAGGTAAAACCAGAAGAAATAGTCTACAATAAATGGGTGCTGGATAAATGAATGTGGTCTGTCTACAAAAGTGAATGGCCAGTATGAAAATAGATTGAGCAGACTAGTCATATAGAAAAAATTAACAAAATGGAATTGCAAAACAAATACCTAAAGAAATAGATATTGGAATGAAATGAAAAGAAGGAGAAAATAAGGATATAGCTGGATGGAGTTAAGGAGATCCTAAAAGAAGAGAGATGGAGAAAAGACTTCCGGTGGCAGGACAGGGACGTGCAGAGGAGGAGAAGCCCAGCTGCGGTTTTTGAATACCTTTTCTTGCGTTTGGAGCGATCCTCAGAGGATACACGAACCCCGGAGAGATTCGTGTTGGCGTAGGGGACCCTCGGGTTGCAATGTGGGAGAAGGCAACTTCCTGGCAACGAAGGGAAGAGCCCCTGAGCCCAGTGCGAAAGAGCCAGCTGCCAGCATATGGCGGCTCCAAAGTCCGGTCTGCCACTGACGTGACCAAGCGAGAAAGTGACAGCCTGTAAGATCGGTGTAGAAAGAGGTGCAGAAAGACTACAGTAGTGAAGAGTGAGATTGGCGTGAGATTTCTTTTCCTTTATTGTGAGTAGTTTTTGTCGGAAGTTGGGGAGAAAAGCGGCCAGAAAAGCGGCTTGAAAAGCGAAAGTGTGACAAGCGTGGGTGGAAAGGCTTGATTGTCAGAGTGAAAGTGTCGATTACAGTGTCTGAAAGGAGAAGTTTGTGGAGAGAAGAAGAATACTGGAAAACTAAGAGATTGGTGGACTCGAGCTTGTGAGTGGTTTGCTATTTGGGATTAGTCTCTAGATAAAACCCGAAGAGAAGGGAGGCGACGGAGGAGAAATAAATGCGGCGCTGAAAGCGATACATTGACTCTCTGAATTTAGCGTAACAAGATTACAGACTCTACTTAACACTGTTTGTATGACAGACTCCTAAGCGATTGGGAGGAGAACACTATTGGATTGAGGTGAAAGCAATAAGTAAAGGAGATTAGGACATTGGACTTAAAAGTGTTGGGAAAAGGAAAAAAAAAGAAGAAGAAAGAGACTAATTGAAGTCTGGGAAAGACTGACTGTTGACAGCAATTAGTCAGCACTTCCTACCATCCTCCTTCCGGTGTGCCGGAAAAGAAATACAAAAACCCAAAAAACTTTAGCTTTAATTCTGACCTTATAATTCTATTTCTTTACCACTCTACTCTATCTTCTTGAATCCTCCCTTGGCATTATTTTCACAAACTTAATATTTTGTCTTCTATTTACTTATTTCCTGATGCTAAGGTAAATCCTTTTTTTCTTCTCACTCTTTCTCTCTCTTTTTTTTCTTTTCAATAACATCTATAAATTTATTTACTTAGAAAAGGTATACTGATTTCTACAGATTTAAGTGCTAATTGATTTGATTGCTTTGAATAATTAGCAATAAGGATTGTAAAATATTGCTGATTTAGAATATTTAGAATATTTAATATTAACTTATAGCATAAGACAAAGGTTTAATAGACTTAGAAATCTTAGAATTTTTTTAAAGTTGTAATTGGGTTTGATTTGATATATTATTTGTTATACATATTTATATTTGTCATACAAACTTATCATAGAGAATATTATATAGTATCGGATAGCGCTCTATAATACGGGAATATAGATTGTGCAAACTACGTGCCTGACTGAAGACATAGAATCAAAAATAACTCGTTTTGGTAGTCCAAGTAATTAGACCTGAAACCTTACTTTAGGGGCAATAACACTGAATGGTGATTTGGGACAATATAATTAACATAGTTCAACAGCAAAAACAAATTCTAAAAGAGATGACCTCCACAACAACCACGGCCCTGAAAACGGGAAGGATGACTACCCCGACCCTAATGACCACCTTGACATCAGCTTCACCAACAATTCAAAAAACTATTGAAGAATCTTTAACAGGAGAAAAACAACCCAACGTCTCCAATGCTAATATACAAGCTACCCTACTATCTTTGCAAGAATCAATGTCCAAAATGCAAGAAATAATGATCAAGAACCATAACGAAACTAGAGCAGACATCAGTGAATTAAAGGAAGAGATGGGAAAGCTAAAAGCGGAGATGAAAGCAGATATACTTAAGGTGGAGGATAAGATTGGGGCACTGCAACAGGCTATGGAAAAAATGAAACAATGATAAAAGAAATAGAGACAAGGACAGAACGAACGGAGAAGAATCTAGAAAGGGTAGATGAAGAATTAAAAAACGTAACTAGAGAAACGGAAGATTCCCTGGTCCATCTAGAATGGACAACAGGATAAAGCAGCGGCATATCTGAGATTTCAGAACGTGGAGGAATCGAAGAATGAAGAATTAGAGCAGCTAATGGCAGGATTATTGGCCGAACTGTTAGAGAAAGATAAAGACGATCTACTCAAGGAATTCAACGAGGTTTATAGGGTCAGCACTAGTTACGCAAGACGCCACAATTGTCCGAGAGAGATCCACATCCGTTTCACAAGAAGATGTGTGAGAGATTTAATACTCAGACTGTTGAGAGATGAAACAATAACATACAAGGGCAAAGAGATTACGATCCTTAAGCAAATCCCAAGAAAAGTGAGGGTCATAAGACAAGATTACAAATTTCTAGCCAATTATTTAAACAAAAAAGGAATCCCATTCAAATGGTTAATCCCGGAAGGGATGCTAATAACATGGAAAGAAAGAAAAATTAAAATAGACTCTATGGAACAGGCACAAGACTTCTACGAACAGTTAGTAGGCACGGATGATCAATACACTAAGGAGGAAACCAAAAGAAATCTGCAGGAAGACCGAAAACGCTATAGAAATAAAAAAGAAGGATCCCCCCAAAACCAAGGGAACAACAACCCACATCAAGAGAGAGAAGAACCAATCCCACAACAACCACAAGAAGAGAGCCGAATTATCACAAGACAAAAAGCAAAACAGATCTAGTTAAATGGAGAAAGGAAAGAAACTCCTTTCTATCAATATAAATGGTTTAAACTCAACATCTAAAAGGAAAAGGATATTAACCAAACTAACTAAACAAAATGCCGATATAATATGTCTACAAGAAACACATATTAGGAAAAATGATGAAAGATATTTAATTTGCCCGAAACTAGGGAAGCTATTCACAGCACCAGCAGATAAACATAAAAAGAAAGGAATTGCAATATACGTGAAAGACGACTTAAAAGCGGATCTAATTTGGTCAGACTTGGAAGGAAGAACTCTGGTTGTACAAATCTCGATTAATTTTATTACATTTTTATTGGTAGCAATTTATGCTCCAAATGAAGAACAAGGAAAATTTTTTAAAGATCTCCACCCAAAAAAATAAGTTTTGAAAAAAAGGAACATCTGTATGATAGGCGACTTTAATTTTATTGCTGACTATCAAAAAGACCATAGTAATGCGAGTAAGAACAAAAAAGGGAAAAGAGAATTCTCTAAGTCTTGTAAGGATATGATGAAAGAACTAAATTTAGTAGATTTATGGAGAAAATTAAACCCAGAAGATAAACAATTTACATATTACTCTAACCCACATAAAATATGGACAAGAATAGACATGGCCTGGATGAATGGGGAATTGGTAAATGAAATAAAAGAAATCGAAATTTTACCAAACGAATGGGCCGACCATAACCCAATTCAAATAATTTGGAGAGGCAAGGGAAAATCAAAGAAAAGATGGACACTAAACACTCATTTAATAAGTGAAGAAGAGTATATTAATAAGCTGAAAGAGGAATTAAATTATTTCCTAAAGGAAAATGATAATGAAGCAACTTCGAAACAAAATATCTGGGATACAATGAAGGCAATCATAAGAGGAATAACAATCTCTTATAATGCCATGAGAAATAAAAGAAAATATGCCCAACAAAACAAATTACAACAACAAATTAAGGAATTAGAAATTCAATTACAAAAAAACCCCCAAAACCAAAGAATACAAAATCAGTTAATAACAACTAAACATAAATTGAATCTATTCGAACAAGAAAAAATGGAAATAAACCTGAAAATGACTAAACAAATTTATTTTGAGTATGCAAATAAACCAGGATGGTTATTAAAAAAGGGAAAGAAAAGAGATTGATACACCAACTAATGGGTGAGAAGGGCGATTTACAACACGAGATAGAGAAGAAAAAAGATATCACTCACAAATACTTTGAAAAATTATATAAAAAGGAAGAAGTCAACGAGGATAAAATAAGAAACTATCTAGAGGAAACGAATGACAAAGTAATTGTAGAGGAATGGATAGAATTACTAAATAAAGATATTACATGGCCCTAATTGAAATCAGCAATAGAGAATCAAAGTAATAACAAATCTCCAGGACCAGATGGGATTCCGGCAGAATTATATAAAGCACCCATGGAACTAATTGGACCACTGATGTTGGAAGTGTTTAATGAGGTACTTCTAGCAGCTGAGATGCCAGACTCGTGGAGGGGAGCATTGATTTCGCTGATCCCGAAGGAGGATGCTGACCACAGATATATTAATAATTACAGACCAATCTCACTCCTAAACGCTGATTATAAATTATTCTCCTCCATTATAGCTAATAGATTAAAACAAGTTTTAAACCCACACATTCACGAAGACCAAAATGGATTCCTCCCGTCTCGACAAATAAAGAATAACTTAAGAACAGTTATAGATGTCTTAGAATTTTATGAAGCACATCCGGAGAAACAATTCGCACTTATGTTCTTAGACACAGAAAAAGCATTTGATAATTTAAATTGGCATTTTCTAATTCAAAAAATTTATAACATGAATCTTGGCACTAAATTTGAAAATATCATAACAACAATTTACGACACACAACAGGCCAATATATTAATAAATGGGGAACAAACAGGTCCAATAAAAATAGAAAAAGGTGTTAGACAGGGCTGCCCTCTCTCACCTCTTCTCTTCATATTCGCTCTAGAATCACTTTTAACACGCATTAGGCAAAATTCTGAAATTAAAGGATTGAAGATTAAATCAGAAGAATATAAATTACAAGCGTTTGCTGATGACATGGTCTTCTTTTTGGAGGAACCAATAGAAAAAGGACACAATTTAATAAAAGAATTAGAACGATTCGGCGCAGTTGCAGGACTTAAAATCAATAGAAAAAAAACAAAATTAATGACCAAAAACTTAACAGAAGACCAGAAAAAAGAATTAGAGGTAACGATGGGAATACAGGTAACAAAAAGAGTCAAATACCTAGGAATATGGTTAACACCACAAGGTAAATCACTTAAAGAGAATAATTATGACAAATTACTCCAACAAGTAAAGAAAGATTTAGAAACCTGGAGCAAGTTGCAGCTTTCTCTATTGGGCAGGATTGCTTCGATTAAAATGAACATATTACCAAAATTTCTATACCTATTTCAGACAATTCCAATTAAATTACATAAAAAATTATTTGAAGAACTAAATAAGATGACACTCAAATTCATTTGGCAGGGAAAGAAAGCCAGGATCAAGGTAAAGGCATTACAAGATCTGAAGAGTAGAGGGGGACTAGCACTTCCAAATTGGGAATTATATTATACGGCAGCCACCTTACTATGGCTAAAAGATTGGGTGAACCTACTCAACAAAAGAACACTATTATTAGAAGGTCACGATTTGCAGAGAGGGTGGCACGCCTTTTTATGGGAAGTGGGGAAACCCAAGCAGTCATACTTTCATAGACATCTTATCAGGGACTCACTACTAACTAATTGGAAAAAAGTACGCAAAAAAACACTATCTAAAAATACCGATTTGGCTATCAACAATGGAGGCAATGGTACACAAAATTACAAAAATGATCAAATACAAAGATTTATTAGACCCACAAGGAAAACTGAAAACACGACAAGAATTACAAGAGCGAGGATTTAAAATTGATCAGTGGGTATATCTCCAAATCCACAGTAGATATAAACAAGACAACAAAGATTTTGGAATTTATAACAAACTTCAGTACTTAGATAAAATTTTATTAGGACCAAACAAAAAGAATATAACTAAATTTTACAAATATTTACTGGAAGTAGAACTAGAACAAGGAGATAGTCAAAGGAAATATGATAGCCTGGAGCAGGAATGTTGGACGGAGTATTACATTAACAGAATGGGAAAGGATTTGGAACAGAAATAACAAGATCACAAAATTGGCAGCTTATAAAGAAAATACATACAAAATGTTTTACAGATGGCACCTGCCCCCTTCGAGGTTGGCGAAAATGCACCCCAACCCGAGTCCAAAATGCTGGAAATGTAAAAGCATGGACGGAACTTTTTTCCACATGTGGTGGTCATGCAAGGAAACCCAGAAATACTGGCAAAGAATTAGAAAATGGCTGGAGGGGATAACCAAAGAACAAATTGAATACAAAACCAGAGTCCTTCCTATTAGGGATTTTTAACAAACAATTATCAAAAAAGATGAAGTATATAATAATTCATATTTTAACTGCGGCCAGGCTAGCGTTCACTCAGTGCTGGAAATTACCTCACACACCCACAGAACAGATGATTATCCAGAAAATTTTAGAGTGCGCAGAAATGGACAAATTAACTCTAGCCCTAAAAAACAAAGAGTCCTCAATATATTATAATAACTGGAATCCCTGGTATAACTGGTTAAATCAAAGATAGACCGTTTATAAGAGAAACTTAGTCGAGGGTAATTGAAGTATAGATACTGATAAGATGTGCGTATACGATACAATTTAAGAAGAAAAGATCTTACAGACTGTCAAAAAGGATAATGTTTTTAAATGTTCACCTTTCTTTTCTCTCTCTTTTTTCTTTCCTTTTCCTCCCTTTTCACATTTCTTTCTTTCTTTTTTTTTCTGGCCTTCGTCAAGGCCTTGTTTTTTGTGTATATGTTGTAGATTTGTTTTTTTAATTGTAAAATTAATAAAATTTATTTTTTTAAAAAAAGAAAGATGGCAAGTTTAAAAATCTTGTTTGAAGTGATATGTGGGTAGAAGCAAGGACAGAAAGATATAGAAAAGTAGAGAGAAATATAGTCAGTGTAAACTGGATTTACTTAGATTTTATTTAGTTTCACTTATTTGTAATCTTCTACTCGCTACTTCTTAATTTTTTTTATGCTTTGCTTAATGTTGCTTGTTTTGTAAAGGAATACCATAATACACATATCTGTGTGGGGGGTGTATGTGTGTGAATGCATCAGGATGGGATTCAACCGGTGTTACTACCGGTTCAGTGAGAGTGTGTTTTGTGGGTGTGGAGCTTTTTCAACCTCAGCTGTGCTTTTTCTTTCCTGCTTTTTCAACCTCAGCTGTGCTGCGCAAAGCAGCTGAGGTTGAAAAAGCAGGAAATAAAGGACAGCCAAGAGCCTGGCTGGGCGGGTGGGCTAAAAAGAGGCCCAAAAGGTCATTGCAGGGAACCAGTCCAGTATCTGCTGCTCTTCAGAACTACTGGTTCTATAGAACTGGGCCGAACCGGTAGCATCCTGCCCCTGGAAAGCATGCATTGCTTCTGAATAGTACATCAGTAAATTCCTCCTTTATTCTTTATTTACAGAATCAGAGTAGTTGCTTAGATCTTCTGATGCATATTTTTTTCTTTTGCTACATACAGGTTATCACTTTTTCTTTTCCTTTCCCTCCAACTCTCAACAGCTTCTCTCTGTCTTCCGCCTTTGAAGTTCTGAAGTCTTGAAGTTCTCTTCTACTGGCCCACCTTTCTTCTAAGGAAGTTGCCAATTAACCCTTTGCCTGCGTTCCACCCACATAATAAACAATCTACTCAGCAAAGATAGGAAGTTTGAAAGATCTGCAGACGTCATAAATAGAAGCAATAAGGATTTTTTTTCCTTACCTAACAGAAAGACCTATATGATGACATCAGTTATGTTCAGTTCCTAGGAAGCAATTCCTTACCTACAGTCCCTACATGCCCCTTTTCAGCAGCGATGGTAAGTGGAGTTTTCCCTGAATTATCTGCAGCATTTACTTGTGCATTGTGACTTAAAAGTAGCTGCAAACATTCCACATGATCAGCAAAGGCTGCTGCATGAAGTGGAGTTCTAGGAAAAAAATAGAACATAGAAACATTTGGCTAATTGAGTGATTTATTATTTCCATCATTTATTTTTATTTATTTCTAATTCATCTCTCAATCTAATATTTCAGGAAAAAATATATTATCATTTAGAATAATAAAGTATTATTCACAGGTGAAACATAATTCAGCACAGAAAAAAAGCCACAAAAAGGCAGAGATGCTCAATAGCAACATAAATCTGATTCCTTCAAATCTTAAAGAAAAGGGATATATAGTTAATAATTACTTAAAGGGAGACAAGTGTAAGCCTTATAAAATAAAAGGCATAGGAATTTCCCAAAGCCACAACAGACAATGCTTTATTATAACATTTCTGTGAAGAATTCTTTATGAAGGCAGTCAATACTTGGTTTTAGCTGAGTTCAGCACTAATTATCAACAGTATCATGTGCCATCACTCCACTGAACACCTAATTCCCACAGTGCTGCCTTAGGCTAAAGGTATTTACCCATGTAGTAGGCTGTACGGCTATTATCTTTCTCATCTTTTCATTTTTCATTCTTTCTCATCTTTTCATCTTTCCTACTATCTTCTTCAGTTGGTATCTATGATTTATCACTTCTTGTTTATATCTTTTGATTAATAGTTGTAATTATGATTTATGACCTGTGACCTATCACTTTGTTGTATGATTGAGAGGTTATGCACTGGAGACAAATTCCTTGTGTGTCTAATCACACTTGGTCAATAAAATCGACCCTTCCCTTCCCTTCTATTCATCTATGAAATTGGTAACCCCAGCTTTTTAAGAGTTTGCTTAGTTATATTTCAACCCATCAAATACAATCAATTTGGTATTTCTTCACTGAAGCAAATGTCTTTGACTTGGTGGAAAACTTTATTAGTGGAGACTCCCTTTCCTTTTATTTCCTCTAACAATCCTTTTTGAAGAGTTGGTGAGATAGGGAGGAAACATAAAAATGTTTTTGTTTCATTTTACTGACAGATGAAAGGCTTCTCCATTAATAAATGAATACAAACCACTGCCTCCATTTTTAAAAGGAATTATAATTTATTATAAATAAAACAAATTAATAAACTACACAATATTTCATCCAAGTAATTCTTACCTTCCTTTTTCATCTTTGCAATTAACAATGCCACCACCAAATGCCCCAATGAGTAGTGAAGCACAGTTTTCATGATCATTTATTCTGTTAAGGAAGGATATGATTTAATTCCATGTGATTTATTTCATTAATTTGATAGCATAGTTCAACTGGATTTCCCTGGGTTTACTTTCAGTCCAGAATTTTGGTAGCCTGGGTTTATAGCTTTGTTTATAGCACAGTTTGCCCAGTAAAACATGTACAATTTATAAATCATAACTGAACTGGTTCACTGACCTTTACATATTATTCTCCTTAGAACTGCCTATATGTTCACATGCATGAACCACACTCCATTGGCTTTTTTCACAAATTACAATAAATGCAGAGGGGGAATCAAAACATGATACGGACAGTTCCCACTTTCTTCTTTCTTTGTACAGTCACTTTCCCCTTTATACATATTACATACTGCATATAGACCTCCTATAATTTTTAATAGAAATGTGTGAAATGATTTCTTTGAAAGATGTTCATTTAAAGCAAGGTGATGTATTTTTTTAGTTTGTTTCTTATTATAGCTTTCCTGTTCATGTAACTCTGGCAGTCTGGGATGCTACTTTCATAGCTACTTAGCCGCAACAACAAACAAAGCCACAATAATACACTTATAGACAAGAGGGCTTAATACTGAAAAAGTCAGTGATGTAATTCTGTCCCCATTTTTACTTTGACTACATCAGTATTATTAAGGATAATAACATCCACAGGCTTTGATTGAAGAGAGAGTGGAGTTTTCAACATAGTATCACTAATCAAACAACATCGTTGTCATTAAATAAGTTTTCCACAATTTATTTCCAGTAATCAAACACCTCCTCAGCTGTCATGAGTTAACTCCAAAAGTTTCTGTAATTAATATGTACATGTGCAAGACTTTTTCCTCTTTCTGATCTGTGCCCATTTAATACTTGGATGAATGATCAACAGAGAAGATTGGACTGTAGGCTATGGATAGTAGCCTTAAAGTAATGGCCAACCACTTTTGTACTACAGGAAAAAAATGAAAATAATTATGACCATGTCTCATTAATATTCAGTTCAGGTCAAAACCATCTTTACTTTTGCTTTTATTAAAAACCTCAGACCATAATTTGAAATTAAAGTTTATAATACAGAAAAACTGGCAATCAAAACTACATAAACTATAATGGAAATGGTTCATTTCCTAGTACAGAAACTTGCTGATAAGGCATTTTAATTGCTTGCAATTGTGAGCATGGGTCGATTGGGGACTAATATTATAAAAATATCACTATCTCAGAGCTTTATTATTTTTAAATTCCAGCTTAACTTGGTGCACAGCCTAGGCTATAAGAAGTGAGATTTACTGCTATTTCTACTTACACCGCACAGTGCAATGGAGAAAAAGAGTTTCCATGAAAGTTGCGAAAAGCTTTATGTTCCAACAGTACCTCTATACAGTTTTCATTTCCTGTAAGAGACCAGATGATAATTTCAAGTGCTTAGTATTGTCAAAAGAACTATACTTTATCATTCAGTTTGATACTGATTCTCTAAAGATATTTCTACAGAATCAAAATGGTGCTCTCTATTTCAAGTCAGCATATTGTTCATGCTGACTAGAAAAAACTTCTCCAAAGTGATTGAACTGAAGGTACAAGTTACTAAACCTGAGATAGTTGGTATATGCTTTGTGATTCCCACTTTTTAAAAATAAAATAATTTTATTCATTTGGTAATATAAAAAAGTCACTGGGACTGCTGTTTGGGAGAGCCACAATTCCATCATTTGTCTTAATACGAAGTATCAGTGTGTTCAAAATACATATAAACCCCCAGTTTAAGACTATCCCCAGGTCTGCCCTTAAGTCAAATTTGTATGTAAGATAGGAGAGCATTATTGCATAATACTGTCTAAGTAGTATGATATGATGAATTGAACTATTGTGAATTTAATTTGAATATCTTTTTATTTAACTTAACTATAGGTCATCCTTAAACTGGGGTTTTCTTAACCCGGAGACTTGCTGTATTGCAACAGAGTGGCAGGGAAGGGGAAATTCTGACCAACTGAAAAACTGCTTAGAGCTTCAGTGTCAGATCAAAAACTGGACCATTCACAAGAAATTGGGTCAGCTGTCAAATGGAGACAATGCAGATCATACATGGCGTTGATCTGGGAATGCTGCCAAATCTCTAATAATTTACAACAATATACAGTTATTGTTTTAGAAGCTCTGTAATCTCTCTTTGCATGCAATTTCCATACTAAACTTTAATAGCCAGTAATAAATATCTGCTTGGCAGAAAAGATTACCATTATAAGAAGCCCAGTGCAATGGTGTATAGTTCTGATTATCTTTAAAATTGTAGTCTTCTGAAAGTGCCAACTGCATTAATTCACTCAGCCATGTGGCATGACCACGAGCTGCTGCATAATGTAGAGGTGTCCTGCCTCTGGCATCCTTACACAGAATTAATACTTCTTGTTCCAACAGCATTTGAATGCATTCCTCATGGCCTGTCATAATCTTTTTCAAATAAAATTTAAAAATTAGATTCATTTTAGTAAAATATGCCTTTCATCTCATAAAGCTATGCAAGATAATCAACAATCCTAAATAAATATAAATAAAAACTGATTTTTTTTTAGTAACTGAAAAAGCTTATCTGAAATATTAATGATAAAGATTTGGGTTGTTTCTGGAATAAAATATGTTCTGCTTGGGCGGTCAGTGACAAATAATTTTTTAGTAACTTGCACATGGACATTGGATACTGTCTTCTCTAAAAAATTAATGAAAAGAAATACTTTTCAGAGTGTTCGTTATAAAAATATACTCACATACTGCATCAAGAGTCCTTCCAGACCAAGAGCCAGTACAAACATAACAACTTTCAAAAGTGTTCCAAGCATGCTTGAAATAGTGACATTTTCAAGATGTTTATGATGATGGTGCATCTTGCATTGCTAGGAATTATTTTAATTTCCCCCCATGCATTCTTGGAAATATTTTTTTTTTAAATGGGCTACTTGAAAACAATAATGATTAATTAAAAAATATGAGGATCTTCAAAAAACATGTTCCAAATATTTCATTATTTAAATTTGAAAAGTAGAGGAATAACTTAGAAAATTAGATATGCTAAATAGAGCATCTAATTTAACATATGTCAGTAGGCATACACAATCCTACTATGAACCCACTGTGCTATGCATGGAAGATTATTGACAACACCTATATGTAAAGCTATGAGCAGAGCCCCCTCCAAAAGGATTGTCCTTCTTCTAATCATCATAAAACCTTAAAGCCTTAGCAATTAAAATTTAGATTGCAAAAATTCTCCCTTTCTACCTAAAAAATTTGATTGCATCTCCATAAAGGCAGTTTTCTGATACTTTTCCCAACTCTAACATATATTTAACTCTAAATATGACCAAACTCTTCGTCCAGGGTAGTGCGGACTGCACAGCTTTTGTCGTATTTTCTTCTCCCATCATATCCATTCTTTTATAAACACTGCTTTTTTTTAAAAAAAAAAAAAGGACTAATTGAGACATCTAATAGAGCAGTTTCCAGCAAAGGTTTCCAGATCACTGTTACTTGCCCTTAGCAGCTTGCATTCAGAGATTTACATGATATATGTTAGAATCAAAGTCAATTTTAGTGTTCTGTATTCTTCTCTACCATTATTAGGCATATGTGCAATTGGAAAAACATACAGCAAAAACACAGGATAAAATGAGAAATTACCCCTCGGTGTAAAGCAGTACATCCCAGGATATCAGCTGCATCAACGGATGCCTCTTTTTCAAGTAACAAAGAAACAGCATCTATGTGCCCATAAGCCACAGCTAGCATAAGTGGAGTTCTAAAAAAACGAGAGGCCCATAACTGTCATCATATATTCCTGCTTTGTGACTTTATTCAATGTATTATTCAAAAGTATTTGCCACTTCTCCAAACACTGTAACATCCATTAGTTACTTTATATGTTGCCAGAGATAGCTAGATTTGGTAATATTGGAAATTCATGAAGCATTAATACAATCTTTGTCCATTATCTAAACACGAGCAGCAAAATGTTTATTTCTGATTAATTGTCTTTACCTAGCGCTGAGTCTCCTAACTTAATTGCTTCTGTTTGGGTATTCTTAATTTTAAAATGAACATGAAAAGGAATAGACATCAATTCAACCTACAATTATGGAAATAAAACAGTATGTTAAATGTCTCTCCCAAACATATCTCCCACTATCATTAATTTAAAAAAAAATCAAAACATGTGTATAATAACACTATACATAAGTAAAATAAATCTATAGCTAATCATAGTAAATAAAACTATTGCTAAGATTTTTATTTGAAATGAGACTGCATTTTAAAAGCCTCCATATTATCAACGAATCGTTTATTTGTAAAAGGTTATGCTTAATTTTTAACATTATTTTTGAAAAAATAAATGTAGAGTTCAATCTATGGAACAGGCCAGAGTCTACATAAAAAGGTTTAAGTGGAAACATTTTCCCATATCTATTTAGGAATTTGCCCATTTCAAATTTGTCCATTATGGGAGGAAATGGATAGACAAAAAGTTGTGATAGTTCCATTCTATCCTATTGCCCATAACATATGGCTATAATTATGAGACAACTTCTGGATTTTAATTCTTTGCCATACTGCAGTATTCTCAGAGTCAGTTTACAAAATCTGAAGGAAAAAAATGTTTTCTGCCTATCAGCAATTCACAACTGTATGTTCTCAGGGGAAGAGGTATGTGGAAGCCAGTGATTCATTGCATACAGAAATATGTGCTATTTTTTTAAAATGCACAAAGATTTTTATTTATTTATATTATTTACTAGATTTTTATCCCACTTGTATTTCTTTTGAAGTTGCTGATGGTGCAAGTATATCTAAGCCTCCTCCCTCCTCCTATTTTTCACACAACTGAGACATGGGCTAGGCTAAAAGAGAGGGTCTGACCCAAAGTCTCCCAAATGGCTTTCCTGACTTAAGCTATGGGATATAATCACATATACAAGAACTGACTCCAAGAAGAGAGGTTCACAGGGAGCTAGAGTAGGGTCATATTTCAAGATTCTGGTTCATATTAATAGGAGACCCATTATTAACACACAGTCTGCATTCATAAAGAGTCCTTTACTTCAAACTCTTATTCTCACTTTTACATCTTATCTAAGATGTAAAATAAAGAACACACTTCTGGCATCTGGCATGGGATGGGATGCTTTTTGTAGCAGAAATCCCAGAGAACATATCCTAGACATACACTGGCAGTGCAACACCAATTATAATAATCTCATTTCCTTAGGTTGCTGCAAATTTGCTTTTTCCATTTCTTGCCTCATACAGGCTTAACCATGATTGTTGTCCATGGTTACCAGTTTCTTACAGCTGTAATGGTTGTGTCCAACTGCTTTTCTCCTCTTTAACTCCAGTGTTAAAAGTTGAAGAACTGATAGCAGCATTATTAATTGGTTAGCCATGGCATGGGAAGGCGATCCTTACCTTAATTTGAAGATATTAAACTAACTTCTGAACACCCTTGAATGAGGACATGGCTACGATTGATATCTAAGTGCTACTGCTTAAAATGATCTCAAGGTCACTCATATCATAAATTTCAAAATGAAATAAACTTACTGTCCTTTGGCATCCACTACGTCAGGGTTGTCTGTTACTTCTAATAAAAGTCGTAGACATGATGTATGCCCATTGATAACTATAAAAAGGAAATACATACTTTAAATGTTTTTAAAATAAAAGCCGTGAAAGAGTCAAACTTGTATCAAGTATATCAATATTTAGGAGAAAATGTCTTTGAATAATCCATTAAGAAAGAAAATATCCCTATATATTCACTCTTGAAATTCATCTTCTAATATAAGAAATAAATATAGATATGAATTTTGATGATTCAATCCATATTCATTAATAGTTTAATTATTTAATGCTTATTCTCCAAAAATATTGACTGCCATTAGGTAGAAAAGCCAAAATAAATACTGGTATTTGTCTTTGATGAGATGAGAAAAGAGAGAGTTGAAAAACGACATTCATATTTTTGTACAAGCATTACATTTTTCAAGATTGTTTTCAACACTGCAGTAGCATCCAAAGACATATGGAAAATAGCAGCAGCAGCAATTTTGAGTTTCTTCCATGAAGAAATCCTACCTAATTATAGTCAAATATGGTCTGCTTCAACTGTTATTGGTGGACAATGTAAACTTGTATTTAGCCAACAGAGGTCTCTATCAGGCCATGCTAAGATAATGCACTACAAAATAATATACAGTACTTGGTTTATTTGTTAAAGACTCTAAAAATAAATGGCAATATATAATCAATTCTAAACTATGGCATAAGGAAAATTAAGTAGGTATATCCAATTACAGATGAGTTGATCTAAATTCTAAATGCCTAACAGCAAGTGCAACTCAAGAGGAGAAACAGATCTAATTCATAGCATGCTGACATCACCAACTGTAATCTGGTTCAGGAGGGACAGAATTCTGAACCCAAGAATTTGTTCTAAGGACTAGAACTTGAGTGAACTTCACAGACCAATCCATTTGGGTTATGCTAAGCTTTCTTCATTTCAGTGGTACAATTATGAAATGTTGGGGTACCATTTGGTTAGACAAAATGATACTACACAACTAGAGCTCAGAAGATCTGTAAACCCATTACTGCCCAACCCTGCGATATGTCATGATAATTTGATGAACTGGTAATAAAATTCAAGGATCATGATTCACTGTAGATATCTGATTACACATCATCTCTGTTTTGGGAATACAGGTAGTCCTTGGCTTAACAACCATTTATTTAAGCTATCATTTTATGTTACAGTGACACTAAAAAAAAGTGACTTACAACCGGTCTTCACTCTTACAATTTTAGTGTCCCCATGCTCATGTAAGCACAATCCAGGCACTAGGCATGTATTTACGATGGTTGCAGGGTCCTGGGTGGGTCATATGACCACCATTTATGACTTTCCCAGCTGGCTTCCAATAAGTAAAGTCAATGGGGGAAACTGGATTTGTTTAATGACTGTGTGATGACCCAGAGTGTAACATAAATATAACAAAATCCAAAATGTAAATAAATGTCCTTTAATGCCTCCAACTTGGCCTCACTATTCAATAATTCTCAGTTGGAGATAAAATGTACTCAAAAATAGTCTTCAAAAGAAAGCAATACAGTCCAAATTTAATGAGCAAATAGAGGTGAAAATAAAAACCAAACAAACTACAATGATTAAATTTCCACAACGGAACAGGAGAAGTATTTACCAAATTCAAGGAGAAAACAAGGCAGAGTCTGTTAGAAGGACGCCAACCAAGATAACGTCAAACCAAAATAAAACACACTTTGTCTCCAGCGTTTGCCAGAACGCAGGTCCAAACTCTTATGCAGTTCTCACACTTGCAGCCCATGAAGAGGATCAAGGCCCCCTCCTCCTGAGGAGACCACGTCTCTCCCTTATCCTCTCCTCCCTGTGTGCCTTAGGATGGATAGGGGATGGGCCTGGGTCCTCCTGACTGCTCAGCCGGTCTCTCCCCTTCCCCAGCCTCCTCCACAACCTCCAGAGCCAAACTTCCGCTCCCTGTCGGCTGTCCCTCCTCTCCCTCAGAGTCAGTCTCCACCAGGGGCATGACAGACTGTGTGATTCATTTAATGGCCAGAGTTATTTGCTTAATGACTGTGGCATAAAAGATTGTAAAATTGGGCACAATCATAGGATTACTCACTTATCAACAGTATCGCTTATCGAAGGAAATTCCTTGATCCAATTGTGGTAATAAATCAAGGACTACCTGTAAGAAATTGCTTACTTTATTTCTTTATTTCTGGAGATTTAGTAAATGTTCAATTTTAGCTTAGCTCATTTAGAAAGGAGGAGTTGTTCCACAGGGAAAAAACTTTAGAGATTTTCACTCTTATATTTTCTTATTCATGAAGAATTCAAATGAAATAGTAATTTTCTAAAATTGCTATAATTTGTTTCTCTCTTCAACCTGAATTATTATATAGAACTCTGAGGTCATACAATACACAAAGTGACCTTAGCATAATAGTGGGAACAGATGTAAATTACAGCTTGCAATTTTTGCTGCAGTTATCTCCCACTACACTAAGTGGGTAAGAATTTTTTCTGTTTAAAAAGGAACGGAACTCTGTCAAAGCTGATTATCCCCATGAGCTTTTCTGCATATCGTTCTGTTTTAACTGTAGTCAGTGTATCAAAATGGTAGCATCTCACCTACCTGAGGCATGGAGTGGGGTTCGCTGTGTGACGTTATCTTTCACTGTGACAGAAGCACCCTGATTGATGAGCGCTTCAACACATTCCACGTGTCCTTTAAATGCAGCAAGATCCAGGGCAGTACGTCCTTTTTCATCTCTAATATCCAGATCTACTAGTGACTGAAGCAGCACTTCTAATGCTTCATGGTGACCATTATAGGCCTAGGAAAAAATGAAGTACTTAAGACCAGTGATTTTCAAACACTGAGAATACACCAAGGTTTCTGCTGATATGAAAACTGAACAGTGAAGAAATCTCATTAGTCTCCTGAATCCTGTTTCACAATGTGGTATTTACCTCTTCAGAATAAACTATACTTTTCAGGGTTTTTCTCCGGAACTGCATTTTTAATAGATGATTAAAATTGGTACATAAACTAACCCTTTAGGGATTTTAACCTATTAAAAAGTAAATGAATTTAGACTAATCTTTGGAAATAAGTAGTACATGAATCTCAATAGAAAAGAATCTGTATTGGGTGACAAATGTTTTATAACCTACACCAATCCAAAAGAACCCCACGAGGCATATAACATCCATCAAGAAAGAAAACAGAGAAATGGAATACTAAAACATATTTAAATCCAAGAACCATCAACAAAGTACAAAAAACCTCCACAAAAGCTAAGATAAAGTAGTAGGTAAAAGACTAGTCAGTCAGCTGGACCAGAAGCTGAAGGAAAAGTTTTAATCAGTTTACATAATCACAGCAAAATGGAAGCTGCACATACTTTGGGGGTGAGAATACTTTATAAGCTGTTCTCTGTATGTATTTCTGTATTGTGGTAATGAATATTGGCCGACTATTTTGCAAAAAAATCCTTGAAATAGTTTGAGGGGGCAGCTCAGCAATGGACAAATTAACTGTAAATAACTTATATAAACAATTCAATTTAAACCTTCAAAAGTTTTTCAGATTCCATAGTGAGTATTTTACAGGTACTCCTCGAGTTATGACCTACTAGAGCCAAGCCTTACCAATTTTATGACTTTTTTTGCGGCAATAATTAAATGGACGTGGCCATAAGTGCAAACATCACGGTAGTTAAGCAAAGGCCACTGTCATTAAATGAACCCACTGTTCACTAAGGTACAGTATTGCTTGCTTTGCTTGCTTACGCACATTTGCTTCTCTAACTGTGATTGTATGCAGAGCTGCATCTGGAGAGATGTCCCAAAATTAATTCTGAAGTGCACAAAACTGCATTTAATACCGGTATTAATTAGAGGACCTGTGACCCATTGGGTCATCATTTCAGAGATGTTTCCTCAACTAAACAGAGAACTAGAAATGACATGGTGGCCAAAAGATCAGTTGGAGCTGCATTAAGATATGACTTCCTTTTGACTGGCAATGAGCATTGGAAATCTTCCTTCCTCTCTCCCCCACTCCCTCCCTCCTTCCTCTTTCCCTTCTCAAGGGGCAGGTAGATGACTACAGCAGTGTGATAGCGGCAGAAGCTTGGCAATGCTGAAGCAGCCACAGATTCCCCAGAGTCATTGACTGAAATAGAAATTGAACAAATAAATAAACAAAAATTTCAGTAATATGTCCCAGCATTCTGTGAGTTAGCCCATTTGAGGTACTTTGGTTGAAAACATTTTGCCCTGAGATGCATAATTTCATCCAATTGAAGGTTACAGACAGGGGTGGGCTTCAAAAAAATTAGCAACTGGTTCTCTGCCCAGTTGCTTTGTAGGCGTGGCCTCCTGCACCATGGGGGGAGTATTTTCAACCTCCCTGGGCTCCGGAGGCTTCCCTTGAGCCTCCTCTTGGAGGGCGAAAACAGCCTTCCTGGGCTCCGAACGCCCTCTGGAAGTCTGAAATGGGTCCACTTCTGGCCTTCTGGAGCTTCCAGGAGGCCCATTTTTTGCCCTCCCTGGGCTCTAGAGACTTTCTTCGAGCCTCCAGGAGGGCAAAAACGGCCATCCCGGACTCCGAAAGCTCTCTGGGACTCCATGTGGGTCTGCGTGGTAAGTACCTGGGATCCAAAATGGGCCACATGGGGACTCCTGGGAGGGGTCTGTGGGGCAGGGCCACCCAGGGTAGGATTTGCCAGTTTGCCAAACTGGCCATAAAATTAACTACCAGTTTACGTGAACTGGTGCGAACCAGTGCAAACCAGTAACAGCCCACCTCTAGTTACAGAGACTATAGATATTCTTTATAAGAATAATTTGAACATAGTAAAGAAATAAGCCCTCACACCGTTCTTGAATTTGATACTCTAACTAGTAGCATATTTATATGAGCCCCCAAAGTAGCTTAACTAAAATTGACTTCAACTCTTTCCCCATCTCTAAGAGGAGGCTTCTGTTTTAGAAAGTGTTAGCTTTCATGCAATAGCAATGTTTTCATTTGGGGATCTTGGGCTTTGAATTTGGCTGGAGAGATTTGGATATGTCTCAAAGAAAACAAGTCTCATCATAAGTAATAACCAGTATAGTTTAGATAAGAAACAGAAGGCTATTTGATCTTATTAGAACAGCAATTCATGCAACCTATACTTACAGCTAAATGCAAAGGACTTCTTGCTGATGTTGAATCTGATTCCTCAAAAAAGTTATTTGTTTTCTCCAGAAGCTAGGATAAACAAAAGAAGGAAATTATTTATACCTATGGTGAAGAGGTAAAGCACATAACATGTACATTTAACATATGAGTTAGTAAGAGACACTAAATCTATATGGAAATGAATTGATTTTTGTGAACTGTTCTTCCCTAAAACTTTTCCTGTCTTCTAATTTGCTCTGAAACACTGGGGATTCTTCAGAACATATGAGAAGTTATGCAGGGATTGCAAGGAAGATAGTAACAGCAACATTTATTTATTTATTTTTGTAAAAGTTTTATTTGGATTTTCACAAAACATAATACAAATAAAATATCTTTTTTTGAGAATAGCATGGTCCCGGGTCATCACTTCTCCATACAGACAAAAAATCAATTTCATATTCATCTTTGTGTTCTATTCCATATCTTATTACTATTTTAACATTTTCTTAATAATTTTTCCCTTCCCTTAGTTTTCTCAACCTTGCTTTTAATTATCTCATTCCTTTCTAAATTCAATTATATATATCTTTTTCTAAGTTTCAATAACTTTCTAATCATTATATTTATACTTTTGTCTGTCCTGTTTCAATTTCATATTTTCTTTTCTCATTAAACAAAATTTTCCCCTGTAGTTACTGATTGGAGTATGACACCTTTGTATCTTTTAATTTTTTGTCCATTCTACTCTTATTTAAACTTCAGTTTATGCCCTTACAATTATAACATTTAATATAACACATAACTTCCAGTCAAATTCTGCTTGGTACATTCTTAAAATACATACTAAGTTCTTAAAGAGAAAGTATACATATATAACAATAATAAATAAAATACTTATTCTATTCCAATTCAGCTCTATCATTAATGTTAGTTATAATCTTTAACATCTGTAACATTTCTTTTCAATGAGATATCATACTTCCTTAGAAACACTTATAATATTCCCATAATTTTTTCATATTTCTTTCATATTCCTCTTCACTTAAATTTCTATAACTCATTAATAATAATTAAAATGTTCCCATCCTTTCCTAATTTTATTCTCCCATTCTCTTTATTTCATTTATTTATTAACAAACATTCCATTACATTACAATGAGTATTTTATCTATCATTTTAATCACACTTGTTTCATATTTTCTAAGTTCATTTCTATTTCTAATATAACAATACTATCTTATGTACCCTTGCAGAATCCCTCTTTCAATTAAATTTTCACCCATTATCTCTGTCTTCTAAATAGGCTTATACCTTTAATCCTTGTACATTTTCCCTGTTTCTCTATATCCTGCTTCTGTCCTTTATAACTTCTTTTCCTTTCCCTCTTCCCCCTCTTCTTCTCCCTCCCCTTTTTGACTCGTTGTCTCTCTAATTCTAATTCTCTCTTCTGTAATCCTTTCTTGTGTTTCTTCCTAATATTGTAATTACTTTTCAAACTATTCTTTTTTTTTGGTTGTTTTTTCAGATCTTAAATATTTCACTCTTTCACCCCTTTTCTTTTCCCCCCCCACGTAGAATTACTTGGTCATTGAAGATGGCTTCTTCTTTGTCCCACCCTTCTTGTTCTACAGGCATTTCTTGTTGTTTCTCATAGTTCAGGATCTCCATTTCTAAAAATTGAAATACGAAGCCAAAAAAACCTCTTCCTTCTTGTGCATCTTCTTTCTGTTTTTTAAGTTCCATTTTCAATTCTTCCAAGAGTGATACCATTTTAAAAACTTTTAAACAACCACCAGATTGATTTTAGTCCTTTAAATCCAATAACCCAAAATCCAAAAATCACCAAGTAATCCAAATAATCCAAAGCTGTTTCTTCTTGCTTCTTTTTTCCACTTTCTCTTTCTGGGGTTCTATTATCTTATTACAAAGTTTCAGTTGGAATGAATCTTTTAGGAATCTTGTTAGAGTTTCACTGTTAATTCCTTTTACTTCCAGGTGGTCTCCTCCATTTTTCCAGATCCCACCCTTTTATTTTTTCCTTTTCTCTCCTTTCTTCTTTTAAAAGTTTTTGAAAATCCAGAAGTCTTTATTATCCCTTTGACATTTTATTTTCAGCTTAAATGCCTGTTAATGTCAAAGTGGATTTTTGTCAGTTTCTTACTTAAAACTCTTAGTTGTCAATATGGGGAAGGAAAGAAAAGCAACCCAAATCCTTTCCCTTCCCTCTCTCATTCACCGCTTCAATATCTTCTTTGGGAGCAATCTCATTCTTTATAGTTCAAATTCCTTATGTTGTTGCTTTTCAGTTCAACCCGGTCAGCCAAAACTTTCTCTTCTTATCTTCCTCCTGCACATTCTTTTCCGGTCGAGTTCTTTTATGAGGTGGCCATTTCTGACCACCACTGCAACCACCTTTGGGAAAGGGAGTAATGGCCAGCTGGGGAGGAGAGATGTGGCTCTCCTCGACCCTGCTGGCGATCTCTACCCTCTTCACCACCTCTACGGGGTGGCTTAGCCCCGAAACCAGCCGGCTCAGGGCGCTCCAGCAGCGAGCATGAATCGAAACCGCACAAGAAGAACAGCAACATTTACATTACATCTTTATTTAAACAACTCAAGTCTGGATACAGAATGCTCCCACCTATTTTCTCCACAACAATAACACTTTTGGCTGAGAATGACTGGCTTAAAATCACCCAGATGGTTTTCTTGTTGAAAGAAGACCTCACTGTCTTCCAGGTTCTAGTTCAGCAGACCAAACTGTCTCTCAGTAATTATCTTTTGTTCTTTAATTTTGTCACCTCTTTTTCCAAATCATATCATCAACAATTATGGCTTCCTCTCTTTTTCCTTTCTCTTCACCCACTGTTATATCCTCATTATTCTTTTTCTAACCAGAATCTTTGTGCTTACTCACTTTGATATATAATCTACATTCAGTCAATCATATCTTCTTGACTCAATATTTTTTTGTTTTTTATATTCTAGGTTTCTCCTGACATACGAGGCCCAGTTGACTTACCTCCAGAAAACAAGCCCAGAAGCATTCTTTTATAAATAAAAACTCTTGCTTTTGACAAATATTCATTCCTTACAACAGATCACATATTATCTATTATTTTTATATTTCCTCTTTTTACAACTGTCCAATCTTAATAAACATTTACCAAATAGACAAAGTCATCTACCTGTTCCCATTTTTAATTATTTAGATATAATTGATACATGAATTTTCAGATCCATACTCTCTTCACTGCATCACACAAATTAACTAACATTTACTACAAATCATGTATTTCTTAATAATTTACTGAAGAACAAATCAAAAATCTCTAAAATACTCCTTCCAGCATTCTTTCACTTCAATTTCATCCCAAATCATTTAATCATTAAATAACTTCTATTTTTAATGTCATGCATTCTGGTGGAAGCTCTTTGTTTAGCCTCCTCATGGACTTCCAAAACAATTTTTTATGTCCCTCAGAATTACCATACATTTTGTCTGCCTTTTAACATTTTAACTGTAAATTGATTTTTAAATTTCATTCCTAATAAGCATCTTTTTGTCTATATGCACATTATCAAACTTTCACTGTTTTTTGCAGCAATTGTTCATTTATGTGGTTAAGAATACCATTGTTATTAATGCTTGAGCAAATTGCATTCATTCAAAATGAATTTTGAATGTTACGATTTTCCCCAGAAACTATTATGATTATTACATTACTGCCATTCACTGGAACATGACATGCAACTATCACCAACCTATAGATTTCTACTTCATACACAACCAGGACAACTTAGATTATACTAATTTATATTTTTGGACATAATTTTAGCCTTTTCAACACTCCACAAGGATGTATTCAACAAGTCTGCTCTACAAGATCAGATTACTTGCATTCAAATCTCTGTATCCCACCCTTAACCTTAATTTCATCAATAATGTTTTTCTTTCATTTCACACATATTACAGATCTGGAGGAATAGCAACATTATGGAGACATAGTGGAACATATATATTTTTAGATTCCATCCCTTTAGATTTTTTTTAGACTTTATATATACATAACATATATGTTTAGGATTTTTTCCCTCTTAAACTATACTTCGATATATCTTCTATGCTTTTTAATCCCATGTCTCCTCCTTAAACTGATTGTATCCTACCCACCTTATGCTGAATTACAATGTAATAAAGATTTGATTTGATTTGATCACCTATTTAGTACTTTTCACTTGTAGATCAGTTTATCAGATTACCTAACACAATTGTATCTGTGCCAGGTGCAAATTCCATACAAATGGTAAGGATAGTATCAGCACATTTAGCAATTTTGTCCAGAATATCAGGAATTCAGTTTAAAGCCCTGTTCACTACAAGCACAAGCACACACTCACTATTCTATTCAAACTAAGAATACTAATCTAGAGGCTACACACTCTTGCCTGCGTGACACCAACTAGAGTGTGTGCAGAGTACTAACACATGGAATGATAATTGAATTGAGCACTTTGGGTGGGATGCTGACTGTCACTACGGTACATTTCTTTTCAATCTGTGTGAGACAAACAAGCTGCCACCTTCATTGGAAGGCAGATGCCATTGTCTTTTAAACATTCTTTTAATGTGTTTCAGTTAAGATGTCAAGAGAAACAGACCTCAGCAACAGCTGCAATAGATTTTATTAGATTTTGCCAGTGCATAGTATGAGTATAGTACTTCATCCATTTGTTTTCAGTTTCATGAGCTGTGACTGTATTAATCTCAGAACATAAACTCTAAAAATAAAATGCTCGCTAACTCTGTTCTCAGTCTTTGCTGCTCATTCTCCAAAAGGCCTTCCAAATAAAAAGCTAATTGTATTATTTCTGATTATTTTTATTTCAGTCCATGAATATGACCTGGTTACCCAAGGACCAACATGAAAACACTAGAAATCTTTTTTATACAAAGTGACAAGTTGATTTCAGAGTGAAAAAAGGAATAGAGATAAGTCATTTTTCATGGGAAAAAAATCAAGATTTGAAAGTATTTTTTAAAATGCAGCCACGCTATTAGTCAGAAAGCAGATTAGATACAGGTA